CACTAGATCTTCTTCAAGCTTGTCAAGTGAAGGAACTCTCCATCAAAAATTTTAATTGGGCTGGGCGCTGGTGGCTCATTCCTGTAATCCTAGCTACTCAGGAAGCTGAGATCTGAGGCTTGCAGTTCAAAGCCAGCCTGAGCAGGAAAGTGCATGCGACTCTTAGCTCCAATTAACCATCAGAAAACCGGAAGTGGCACTGTGGTTCAAGTAGTAGAGTATTGGCCTTGAGCTGAAGAGCACATGGACAGTGCTCAAGCCCAGCGTTCAAGCCCCAGGACTGACCAAAAAAAAAAAAAAAAAAGGGTCAGGTGCTGGTAGCTCATTATATAATCCTAGCTACTCAGGAAGCTGAGATCTAAGGACAGAGGCTCAAGGCCAGCCCAGGCAGAAAAGTTTGTGAGACCCTTCTCACCAATTTTCAAGCTGGAAGTGTAGCTGTGGCTCAAGTGGTAGAGTGTCAGCTTTCATCGGAAAAGCCAGGTGGGTTGGGGGGGGGGAGCTGTGCCCAGGCCCTGAATTCAAACCTCAGCATCTGGACAACAACAATAGTGATAATAATGAGGGAGAGCTAGGAGGCTTGTGTCTAAAAGTGTCTATAATCTCAGCCTTCAGGCGGCAGAAGCAGGTGGATTTCCAGTTCCAGGTGAAATACAAGTGCTGGGTCTAAGTAACATCATCTTGTCCTTACCACCATCTTGGCATCGTAACAGATGATGGGGACTTTCTGAGAACTCTAGAGGTGACACAGGACATTCTTTGAACTGCAGATATGTCATGGGCTGTGTCATGAGCTGTGTCATGAGTTGTAAAGCTCCAGGAAAGTTTTGTTCCAGAGAATACTTGTCCTTGGTGGTTCTTGATTGCTCCCTCTAGATACCTGGCCCTTGATTGCCTGTGATTGTTCCCCCTAGATAGTGTGTTTTACTTCTGTTAAACATGCTTGGCTAGTCCCCATTCCATGTGAAATCTGCCTTGATGTGTTTTTCACCTTTATAAACTTTGTGCTAGCTACATTTTGGGCTGCAAGTGTTTGGGGACATGGGTCTGCTTGCAGTAATTGGCTTTATAATAAAGACTATGGATTTGACCCTCAAAGTGTGGCTTCCCTGTATCTCGTTGACCAAACTCCAATATAACACAGGCCAGCCTAGGCTCCATATTCAAGGCCAGCCTGGACTACATGTGAAGACTGAAAAACAAAGTTCTGAACTGAGATTTTATTAACAACTGTGTTGTATTTCATTGAATATTCTGTAAAGATAAATTTAATGAAATTGATTGTTCCTTTGGTAAAAACTGATAGCACACCAAAAAATACTAAATGGAGGAATATAGCCTGAAGAAAATAATCAAGACCAGGGAACCGTATCAACCACAGAAACTAATGGAAAGTTCGCCCTTCTTTGTTTTTTCTAATTATAATTTGAAATATGTTTTATCTAATATTAGTATTACTACTCCAGCCTCTTTTTGAAGACCATTTTCTTGGAAAACTTTGTTCCAGACTTTCACTTGAAGTTAATATTTGAAAGCCTTAAGACCATAGTTAATGAAAGACATGGAAAAAGAGGAATTGTTGCAGATTAGGTATGCTAAGTAGACAGGATAACTAGGCAGGCTAGATTAGATTTTGTGATGGAAATAGAGTATTAATGAAAAATGCTGGTGAGTATTAAAGGCAACGAACTAAAGCAGTCTAGTTTAAAACATTACATCTCTTGGTAATTATACTGTTCTGTGGGTTTTCAGCCTTAGGAGATGCTGATAAATGACAAGTAGCTCTTTGAAATATTTCTGTAATTACTCTATAAACCTAAAATTACCTCTGTTAGCGAAATGAGCTTCCTTCCCATAGCTTAGTCCACTCCTTCCCTTTTCCACAGCTTAGCATGCTCCATTCCTAGGCAACACTAAGCCCATGTAGTAAAGGCAGCAAATAATCAGCCTCCAACCCCCTTTACCTTGGGATGGTACTTCTCTGGGGCAGCTACCACCATATATGGCAATAAGATCCCCTTAGAGTGACCTTCAGCTCTGGGCAGTTGCAGGGCCCCTTATCAACTAATTGGATAACAGCCATAAATCCTAGTCTGCCATGATGAAGCGCCTAGCCCACAGGTCCACACCGGGGTCTCCATCTCCTAGCCCCTTCTAGACCCTCCTAAACCTCTTAGGGTATATAGATCATCTCAGACAATAGCCAGTGCTGCTTCTCGCTTCTCCCTTGTGAGGAGTCTTGCTGGCCCACTTTCCTGGCAATAAATCTTTCTTTGTTCTCTATACCTGGTTGTTTGCGTGGTTCTCTGGCAAAGTCTAATTAATCTTTCAATCTCAAAATATAAAGTCAAGGAATTATATTTTCCCAAAGTCCCTTAAGTAAAATATAGGAAACTTTAGTGGTTTGAGAGGGCACAAACATCTCACAAATTTGAAATGTATTATGATATTGAAATTCGTTATCACGATCCTTCAAAAATCCTTTTACTCTCTTACTGTACATTCTTCAAAGTACACCTATGCCTTGAACTTGAAACCAATGAGTTAGTGGTCAGTGGACTTTGTGTCTTGGCAGATACTTATTTAGTATCTGAGAACTATTTATCACAGCAAGTATACCTTCAGGTGGTTGATGTTTTGTGCTTGTATTTCTTGAATTTGCATTTTTGTTATCTTTTCACAACCATGCATCAATAGCTTCAGAGATTTGCAGGGGTATAAAATTTGGGACAAATGTTCATGCAAGCTTCAAATTGCTAACACAAATGTAAACTGAGAAGAGTAATTCATTAAAAGGAAAAATTGCAAGAAGTATCTACTACTGAAAAGTTGTATTTTAGCAATTTGTTGCATTAGTATATTGTCTGAGATGAAATCTGTAAAGAGTAGCTGCAAGAACTATGATGTTTTCTTTAATGACATTTCCACAGAATGTTTCAGGACATAGTAAACTAAGGGTATGGATTTTAAAAAATTACTACCATAGACTTTGTGTCCAGAAACCTAGGCTTAGTTGTGTAAGTTTGGAAAATAAATTAAATTCTAAAAGCCCTTATTTGCTCACTAATAAAGTTGGGGTAATGAAAGACAGCTGTAGTGAAGATTAAAATAAATAATACTTAGTGTTGGGAAAGTGACGAAGAAAGGAAGGTATGGGCCAGACTCGATCTCAACAGGCTAGGACTGTTTATTGAGGAACAGCAAGGGACACAGACCTTCCCTTGGGTATGGAGTTTTGTGTAAAGAGATGGGCTCAGGAATGGGGATTTATGGGGACCAGCAAGGAGGCAGAGGTTAATGAAAAGCTACTGGGTCAAGGAAGGTGAAGGGCTCTTCAGTTGGGCCCAGGATGAAATATTTACAGCCAGACTTAGATTGCTCTACAGGCTTCAGGCAGTCTGCACTTATGGCCTGCCTGGTATCTGTATGCACCTAGGAAAACAGGGAGGGAGTCAGTCCTTCATTTTCCATCTTTGGATATCTAAAAATAACGGGCTGAGAGTGGAGAGGTCAGTCCTTCTTATAAGGACTTTGGATACATGAACAGAATAGGGCAGGAAGGGAGCAATATGTTGTTATAACGAGAACAAAGCAGATTCCCATCACTTAGAACAAATACGAAAGTTTCAATAAGCATCTTAAAAGAAGAAAAGTTATTATTGCTTTGTTATTGCCACTGTATTATTGTGACATATTGGAAAAATTGCCTGTAACAATGTGCACAAATGAAAAAATGAATCTGGAATAAAAAGAGGGGAAGAGTAATGAAAAGAGGAAGGGATGGCAAATGCAATCATTATATTGATCATACATATGTAAAAATGGAACCAGGTAACTTAAGAGGATGGGTAGGGCTGGGAAGGATGGGGAAGAACAATGAGTCAACACTAATCAAGATGCAGTGCACTAATAACCAACCTTATTGAACTGAAACCTCTTCGCACAACAACTTAATGATAAATACAAATGAATAAAAAAGAATTAAACTTGTGCTACATTTCTTATAGTACAAGAAATAAGTTTTAATTTGGGCAAAACAAAATTAAATGAGATATATGACAAAATAAACTCTGGAAATGCCTTGTGGGTAACAATGCCTTTGGAAATATACATGCCTCATTTCAAAAAAACATCAATCTTCAGCTGGGCTGACTATCAATATTCATTACAGGCTCATGCCTGTAATCCTAGCTACTCAGGAGGCTGAGATCTGAGGATCACAGTTCAAAGCCAGCCCAGGCAGGAAAGTCCATGAGTGAGACTCTTACCTCCAATAAACCACCAGAAAATCAGAAGCCTGGGCAACAAAGTCTGTGACTCTTATCTCCAGTTAACCGGCAAAAACCGGTGGCGCTGTGGCTCAAGTGGTAGAGCGCTAGCCTTGTGCTGGAGAGCTGAGGGACAGCGCCCAGGCCCAGAGTTCAAGCCCCACGACCAACGCCCCCCCCCACCCTCAAAAAAAACCCGACCAATATTCTGACTTTATTTTCTTTTGAAAATACAGTGATTTGTGAGCTTTGGGACACTATCATCCTAAAGATCCTAAAGATCACATAATAAAACTAGATTTGCTAAAACAAAGACATTTCTTCACTTTATTTTCTTAAGACATTTCCTGGAGAAACACTTCTAAATCCTTTCGGTATCTCTTAACTCTTTTCTTTCTGACAATGCTGGGGCTTGAACTCAGGGCCTGGGCGCTGAGTTGCTCAAGGCTAGCGATCTACCACTTGAACCACAGCGCCACCGGTTTTTGCCGGTTAACTGGAGATAAGAGTCACAGACTTTGTTGCCCAGGCTGGCTTCCAACCCAGAGCTCAGCCTCCCGAGGGGCGAGGACCGCGCGCGGGGCCGGGCTTGCAGGCCGGCGCGTGCAGTGTCCCCGTGTTCCTCCAGCCAAATCCCGCCTCCGCGGAGGCTGCTGGGAAGCGCCCCTGGAGCCCGCCTGGGGACGCTCTGCGCATGTGCGGCGCCCTCATCTGTCACCCTCGGCTAGCGGTTTTTGTCTCCGGCCGTGGCACTGCAGGTAGCGGACTCCAGGTGGGCCTCGCGCCGTCCGTCCGCGGTGCCGCACGGGACAGGGACTGTGCTCGCAGACCGGGCGGCTGGCCGGCGACCCGCAGCTGAGGCCGTGACCCTGAAGGTGCGTCAGAGGCCTCTCGGGGCGGGCGGGAGAGCGCGGATTCGTGGCCGGGTGGAGGTCACGGCCTGGAGGCCGCCGCCCCCCAGTCCGAGAGCCTTGCAGTGAGCGCCCCGCCGCCCCCCGGGGGTCTGACCGCGGGGGCCTGACCGCGGCGGGGGGGGGGGAGGAGGCCTGACGGATCGCGGGGGAGGGGCCCTGACCGCGGGGGCCTGACCGACCGCGGGGCCCTTACTGTAGGGGGGCCTGACCGCGCCTGGCCGCGGGCCGCCTTCTGCACTTGACCGGTCCCCCATATTCCCGTGCTGGAACCCTGTCAAGGCGCCCCAGGAGCCGCCCGGGGGATGCGGAGCCGCAAGTCCAGTCAAATCGCGTCGATTCGCCTGGATTCGATTCTTCCCGGTTCAACTGGTTGGGCCCCAGGCTCAGATAGGTTAATCTAGGGCGACTCAGTCACCGGTAAACATGATTGGAATACCTTGCAGGAAAATCCCTCCTTGTAAATAGGGCAGTGGATGTCTAGGGTGATGGGAAATGGGTCAAGGGGAGCTGCTTTCTGGATCGCAAAGCATACCTACAGTTGCCCCCCCCCCCGCCCCAAACACACACTATTTCTGGCTACCTGTAATCAAGGCAATAGTATGAATACAACTTTTTATTAATTCCATTTTATTACTATCACAGGTTCGATTGTTTTACTTTGCAATGCAGGCTCTGTTCGTTTCCTACACTAAATTCCAGTCTTGGTTTGTTGTGTCCAAGCACCCCCAGACCATAGTTGTTGTGTAATGCACCAGTTCTTACCATATGGTACTATTCTATTTCCAAAAATTCTTGGGTCTAGCCAAGAACCTGATGAGGACCCTTCCTCCCATCTTCCCATTTGTCTCTCTTCTCAGTGGACTGCTAAGCTGCTCCACCTTTTTCAATGTTCAGTTTTACTCAAGAGTTGGGAATTCTATCCAGGCTGAAAGCTAGTTTCCGAATATTTTTTTTTTCTTCCAGGGTTTGAATTATGAGCCTCCCTTGCTAGACAAATGCTCTGACAATCTATCCACTTCCCTAGCCTTAAGTTTTTTTGGTTACTGTTTTTAATTTTATTTTTTGCCAGTATTGGGGCTTGCAATCAAGGCCTCAAATTTTTGCTTGGCTTTTTCTCTCAAGGCTGGCTTTCTACAACTTGAGTTTCACCTCTACTCCCAACTTTTTGCTAGGTGATTGGAGATAAGAGTCTCACAGATTTTTATGTCCAGCCTGATTTCAAACTGTGATCCTCAGATCTCAACCTCCTGAGTAGCTAGGATTACAGGCATGAGGCACCAGAGCACAGCAAGATTTTTTTTTTTAAGAAGAAAACTTCAGTCCAGCCAGGTTTCATATTATAAAGGTAGTATCATAATGCCTCTGATTGGCTGGTGGTATTGGGGCTTAATTAAGCATTTTGTAAGCACCTGTGTTGTGTGGATATGATTGCTGCTGCTAATGAGAAAGACTTTAGGATTATTGCATCTGCTGTGTTTTGCTATGCACATGAAGGACCTGTTTGCTGATTGTGGTGCCAAACTGCTATTTTAGAAGCTGTAGTTGTGTCAATAACAGCAGATTTGGGGGATGATTTAGAGCTCACCAAGATCGAATTAATTTTTACCATAGACCTAACCTAAAATTTGTAGGAGAGCAGCATTCATTCTAGGCACTGTCTTAATTTGCGGTTCTGGGTAAAGAAGTAAATAATACGTGAAGGATTAATCAAGATTATCCAATTCTTCCTAATTTCCAAGGTATTAACATTGAAACCAAGGCAGTGACTATGTTTATAACAGGATATGTAGTGGAACCAATCATATTTAGGTGAAAACTTTCTTTTTTTTTTTTTTTTGGGTCCGGTCGTGGGCCCTGAACTCTGGGCCTGGGCGCTGTCCCTAAGCTTTTCAGCTCAAGGCTAGCGCTCTACCACTTGAGCCACAGTGCCACTTCCGGCTTTTTTCTTTTTGCTTATGTGGTGCTGAGGAATCGAACCCAGGGCCTCGAGCATGCAAGGCAAGCGCTCTACCACTGAGCCACCTTCCCAGCCCGTGAAAACTTTCTTGGATAAGCATTTTATGAGAAAATAAAATTAAAGAGAAGAAATGTCTAACTTTTGAGGATTTTGAATGGATGTTCTGCCTTTGTGGAATTTAAAATATTAAAAGAAAAAATTGTAATGACATGTAACACCTTTTATGTATCAAAAACACATTAATCCAACATCATTTTAATAGCAGTCATAGGGAGGGTTCCATGTTTGGACATGTTATACACCGTATTTAACTGATCTTCCATCACTCATTATTTAAGTTTTCAATCCTTTGTGTTATTCACTGAACAGATACATAATTATCAAAACAACCAATAGAAAAGAAATGTTTAGATTCAGTCAAAAATGTCACATGTTCATCAAGATTATTGTCAGAGTCATCAATTAAACAGGTGAGTACTATTTCATGGCCCTTCTATTCCTTCTCATGGTTCAAAGGGATATGTCCCTAGAGGTTTATAGTGAACTTAAATATGATATGGAAATTTCTCACAGGTAATTCCTGGAACTACAAGATATGATCTGTTACAACTTCTCCCTTCCAGTTTTTCCCACTCTGGCTTCATAGTTTCTACTCTTCCCTAAGAGACTCATAAAAAATGAAAAAATTCAAGGTGAGTCATTTGTTTAGTCTTCACTTTGTGTGTGTGTTTGTGTGTGTGTTTGTGTGTGTGTTTGTGTGTGTGTTTGTGTGTATGTGTATATATATGTACTGAGTTTTTGTGTGTGTGTGTTTGTGTGTGTGTGTGACAGCTCATGTGTTAAACTAGAAAAGTGGAACTAGTTTATAATCACCTTTAGGGAAAATATCATTCGATTAAAACAGTAGCCTCCAAAGTATGATCTTCCAAGCCACATGAACCCGAAGACCTCAAAGGGTCTGTAAAGTTATCTCAAAATACTACTGTTGCCTGATTGCCACGAATTAAGGCAATGAGAGTATCAGGAGGGACAAGTGAAGACTGAGCAAGTTTAGTAGCAATAAATCATCTTTTACATATAGGATATATAGCTGTGCAGAGAAATAAAATTTTATTCTATGTCATTGTTTGAGTTTTACACCAAATACTCTGGTCTACAAAGAATTTGTAAGTGGGCAACATTCTGCTCTGAACGGGAAAGTAATTCTTTAGAGACATAACCTGCTTATGTCTGTGACTCGTATTTGATTATCAATACAGCATGGAACATGAAAAATCTGGGGAAAAATAATAAAATAATCAAAAATTAATAATCATTGTATTTTCCAAGGGACTCAAAGTATACAAAAATTGCCAAACAATTTACTTAGGGATATCCTTAACAAAAGAATTAGTATTGATTCTCAAGTGCACATCTTTTTAATTTTCCACATGATAAAATGAGCAGTTCATACCTCTCTTTCCTGCTGTATCCTGAGCTATCCTGATTGGTTGTTTCACGGACAATTAGTTGTTTGATGTATGTTTACATGAATACTTGTCATTGGAATACCTTCTTTTGCTTGAAAGAACAACTAGCAGACAAGCCTTGGGTATTTAAGCTTTATAAGACTACTTAAAGTAAAGTAAAAGAAAACAAAGTAGGGCTGGGAAGGTGGCTCAGTGGTAGAGTGCTTGCCTTGCATGCCTGAGGCCCTGGGTTCAATTCCTCAGCACCATATAAACAGAAAGGAAAAAAAAAAGCCGGAAGTGGCGCTATGGCTCAAAATGGTAGAGTACTAGCCTTGAGCTGAAGAGCTGAGGGACAGTGCCCAAGCCCAGAGTTCAGGCCTTAGACCAAAAAAAAAAGTTAAAAAAAAAAAGAAAACAAAGTAAAAAATATAGTGAAGAAGAGATAGGGAGCCAGTGGCTTATGCCTGGAATTTTAGCTATTTAGGGGGCTGCGATAGAAGGATCGCAATCCAAAACCAGGCCTAGCAGGAAAGTTTCTGAGTCTCATCTCCAGCTAATTACCAAAAGCCAGAAGTGGAATGGTAGCTCAAGTCGTAGAACACAAGCCTGTGATTTTTGTTTTCATTTACTTAAAATTATCTTTTGCATAACTAACTTTGATGAACTCTAACTTGCTTTTCTTTTTTTAGTTTATTTTGGTATATTGTCTAAAAAGTCTTCTTTATCCAAAGCTAACAAAGACTTTTCCTATCTTCCAAAAATGTGACTGTCTTTATGTTTTATTTAGGTCTATAATTTATAGGTCATACTTATATAAATTATAAATTTATAAATTATATAATATAAAGCATAAATAAATTCATTGGCTTAGGTTCTGTTTTTAGATATAGATCTCCACATGTTCCAGTGCTATTTTTTAACCACATTATGTGTGTGTATGTATGGTGTGTGGAAGCAAAGTATTTTACATACAATTCAGAGAGAACAATCCTATGCATTTACACAGAGAAATGAAATCTAGGTTCATAAAAAAATCCATGAAAAAATATCTATAGCTACTCTGCTTATTATTGTCCAAATATAGAAATAAACATTTTAATTTTTTAATTAGTAAGTGGATACATAGGGTACATCATGCAACTGAATAATAATGTATTTTAATAATATATATCTTAAGTATATATTTTAGTAATATGTACTATTTAATATGTATGTACTATATATCTTATATATAAATTAATGTACATAATACTACTTATATAATCTTAATAAATACATATTGGTTTATATATAAATATGAGTCATTATGTTTTTGTTTTTGTGCCAATCATGGGGCTTGAACTCATATCCTGTGCACTGTCCTTGAACTTTTTTTCTCAAGGCTAGGGCTCTACCACTTGGAGCCACTGCTCCATTTCCTGCTTTTTTGGTCGTTAATTTGAAATAAGAGTCTCATGGACTTTCCTTCTGGCTTCAAACCACAATTTTCAGATCTTAGCTTCTTGAGTAGGTAGGATTATAGGCATGAGCCACTGGAGCTGAGCTATGAACGTAGTTATGAATTTATGTACATAAATAAGTCCAAATATGTGAATGCATTTATTAACTATGCTGAGAAGGCCTAGGAGCATTGAACTCCACATAGGCAGCTCACATCCTAATTTCTGATACCACCCTTCACAAAAAGGAACTAAAGCTCCTTGGAGAGTTGGCAATGAAAACTGGAAAAGCACAGAAAGTGTTGTAGCATCATAAAGTAAGGGAATGCTGAAAGGCAAAATGACTTGTATGTGTTAAACGATACAGGGACCAACTTAGAAGGCAAGGATGCAGGGACCCACCTCATTGGCAAAGCTGAGACAGTTGGTGCAAAAAATTCAAAGCATAAAATACATCTATGAGAGCTGAGCATCAGTGGCTTACACTTGTAATCCTTGCTACTTGGAGGCTGAGAACTAAGGATCACAGTTTGAAGCCAGCCCAGGCAAGGAAGTCTGTGAGATTCTTACCTCCAATGAATACCAAAAAGCCAGAAGTGGAGCTGTGGCTAAACTGATAGAGTGCCTGCCTTGAGCAAAAATGCTAAGGGACAGCACCTAAGCTCTGAGTTCAAGCCCCCATACTTGCATAAAAACATGCATACACATATGAGGCCATATTAATATAGATGTTTTTACAAATAAATGGGAAGAGAGTACTTTTCTTTATGAAGAATTCCAAATAATAGGTACTGCTCTCTCTCTCTCTAGTAGATGGATATTTTTCCTTCTTTTCTTGAGGATGGACTGGACTTTGTTAAAAGAAAGAAAAGAAAAATTGCTACATAAAGTGGAGAAAACTGGCAAACATTACCAAAACAAAGTGAAACAGGTTGACATCTCTGCTGTACCTCGTCTTCTTAGCTATATGATAATGGGGAGGGCTCCCTGCTGAGTTGACTTTCACCCCAAACCTGTAATCTCAGTCTAATCACAAGAAAAGCTTCAGATAAAAAGTTTGAAGGGTCTTCTACAAGATATTCAAAGTACACTTAAAACTGTTCAAGGTCACCGGGTGCCAGTGACTCACACCACCTAGCTACTCAGGAGGCTGAGATCTGAGAATTGCAGTTCAAAGCCACCTGGGGGGGGGGAGTCTGTGAGACTCTTATCTCCAATGAACCACCAGAAAACTGGAAGTGGCGCTGTGGCTCAAGTGGTAGAGCGCTAGCCTGTAGCTGAAGAGCTGAGGGACAGCGCCCAGGCCCTGAGCTTAAATCCCGTGGCCAACAGAAAAAAAACAAACTGTTCAAGGTCATAGAAATCAAGGGAAGGGGGGAAGCTGACATTGATTAAGATGCTTTGTACTCATAAACTGACATGTTGAAATGAAACTTCTTTGTACAACTGCTTAAAGATAATAAAAATATGATGGTGATGACGATGATAATCTTAATTAAGGAAAGGTGTTGAGGATACAACTCACTGGTAGAGTACTTGCATAGCATCTTCAGGGCTCCAAGTTCAATTTCCAGCACTACATAAGTGAATAACTTTTTTCTGTGATAGTCCTAGGGCTTGAACTCAGGGACTGGGCACTGTCCCTGAGATTTTCTGCTCAAGGCTAGTGCTCTCCACTTGAGCCACAGTGCCACTTCTGGTTTTTCCTTGGTTACTTGGAGATAAGAGTCTCACAGGCTTTCCTGATCAGGCTGGCTTCAAAGTGCAACCCTCAGATCTCAGCCTCCTGAGTAAATAGGATGGTAACATAAGTCACTAGCACCTAGCAATAAATTTTTAAACTAAAATTCAAGGAAACACTTTCATAGGCTATAGGAGACATAACAAATGAAATATGGTATACTCAATTAGGGAAGACTGAAATTAAGTATGTCTAGAATTCAGTTAATTGTAATATACCAATATTTGTTTTGCCTTTGTGTGTATGTGTACACATGTGCACATGTGCTGGTACTGGAGCTTGGAATTAAGTGCTCTCAGTTTTTTCATTTAAGCTGGTATTCTACCACTTGACACACCACTGCACTTCTGGCATTTTGCTGGTTAATGAGAGATCAGAATCTCCTAGGTTTTCTTGACTGGGAGCTTGGAACTATGATCCTCAGACCTTTGCCTCCTGAGGAGCTAAGATTACAAGTGTGAGCTGTCAGCAACCAACATGCTCTGTATTTTTGGTTAAAGGGAATCATATTGGGAAAACTGAAACAGAGGATTATAGAGCAATTGTCTTGATCAGTTTGTGCTTTTACAACAAAATTTTCAAAATGTATTAATTTAGAAAGAGCAGAAAGTTACTTTGTCACAGTTATGGGAGTTAGGCTAAAATCAAGGTGCTAACAATGTTTGCTGAAGGCTTTCCTTTCTGCTTTCAAGAGGGTGCTTCGAAATCTGGTCCTCACAAAGCTGAAGAGCAAAAGAGGGTAAGCCCATTTCCCCCAAGCCTTGTGTAAGGTCCTTAATCACATCTATGGGAGTCTGCCCTCCTGACTTGAACACCTACTAAAGCCACCACCTCTTCATAATACCACATTGGCCAGTAAGTTTTTTTTGGGTGGGGGGTCTGGTCATGGAGCCTGAACTCTGGGCCTGGGCGCTGTCCCTCAGCTCTTCAGCTCAAGGCTCGCACTCTACCACTTGAGCCACAGCGCCACTTCCGGCTTTTTTCTTTTTTTGCTTATGTGGTACTGAGGATTTGAACTCAGGGCCTCAGGCATGCAAGGCAAGCACTCTACCACTGAGCCA